CGGCCCCGGGGGGGCCTCGCAGGGCCTCGGGGCCGTCAAACAACGGCTCAGGACGAAAAACCGGTCCCGAGGAAAGGGTCGAGACTTCCAGGGACGCCGTCCCGAAAAAATCAGGACGTTGAATGTTTGGGCTCCGATTTCTTGTTGGAGGCATGCTAGCCTGCCGATGTCCGCCGATTCGATTGTTCCCGGCTCGCCTGCCGACTTCCGCCGATCCGATTCGTTTCGATCGCCGATCCGACTTGCCGATTCGATTTGGGGCTCTGCTGCCCCCGTCCCCGCCGTTGCGGCCTCCTCGCCTTGCCACAGGTCAGAGATCCCAGACCACCCTCGCGCTGTGGAAACAAAAATACGACGGGTTGTTTTTCGCTGTTGTCGGCCTCCTGGGGCACTGACTGGGCCTCGGGACGTCCAAAACGACTCAGGATGAAGAGCCAGTCCTGGGGAAGGGGTCCAGACCTCTGGGGGTCGACGTTGTCAACAAAACATGTTGTGACAACTCAATTGCTTTGCCACAGGTCAGAGGATCGACGACGCGTAAGAGTGACGTTTCGCTGGAGTAATCTTTTGTGTGGGCCCACTGGGGTCCCTCAATCGCCGATACAGGCGCGGTAGTAGCGTCTTGCGCGCTTGTATCTAATCCCCCGCGGCCCTCGAAAAGCCGCTCACCAAAGGTCACTCTTTCCCAGGGTCACTCTTGTTTGTCGTCGAGAGGACCCAGACCCGCTCGCGTTGTGGGAAAAAACGACGGGAGGTCTTTCACTATTTTCGGTCTCCAGCGCGCCTTACAGGGCCTCGGACCCGGTTAAACGCGACACAGGATGAAAAGCCTGTCCAGGGGAAGGGGTCCAGACATCTGGGGGTCGACGCTGTGAAAAAATCGCTACGTTGGGGGTCTGCCACGAGTCAGAGGAGGAAAAAGGCAACCATCTTCAATGTTTGGGTATCCTGGGAGACCCTCGTCGCCGCCGCTGGATTCTCCTCGAAATCCTAGTCGGAACGCACCCCAGGAGAGGTCCGGGGAGTAGCAGTATCGATACCTATTGGTTTCCCCAGAAGGGCTTCCGTCGCGCTTGTCAGGACATGTACTGCGAGGTGATTGTATGTATCCCTCCAGCTAGGGCTCGCGTGGTGCTCTGCTTTGAGCTCCAGGGTGCTGCCGCTCAGAACATTGAGGGAGCCCAGGGATACACCCCAGGTGGCTATTCGGACGCTCCCTCATTGAGGTTGGCCGCCCCCCGTCGTACATCCCCGAGTCTGGGCCCCATCTTGGTTGGTCCATTCGAAGGCCTCACAAAATCGGGGATAGGAGTCGCCATGGCCGCGTTAGAGAGGGGGGGTAGCATAGCGAAGACGAGGAGAACCTTTCTACGGGCTCACCCAGAAGCCGCCGATAGACTCTGCCATTATAATTCCCTCCTCCCTCCCTCTCCTGTCGCCGTCGGCTGCCTCCAGAACCTCTCAGCCTCGTCTCTCTTCCTTCCAGACTTCTGACGACGCTTTTCTCTTGGCACGCTCGGACGTGTGCATTTTTCTTCGGCGCGGACCATCGAGGAGCATCCTGGGTCATCTGGCAAGGGAAGCACGCGCGAATCCGAAACCTGCACGGGCAACGCACGTCCGAGCGATGGCAAGCTCTTCCTCTCAAACACGTGGACCCCCAGAGGCCCAGACCAGGAGGAGGAGGAGGAGGAGGAGGAGGAGGAGGAGGAGAAGGCGGAGGAGGAATCCAACGTCCTGAGGGGCCAGCTCTGCAGCCAGAGTCCTCTTCTTGACGGCTCTGGGGCCCGGTGAGGGCCCCCACGGGTTGGAAAAACGGCCAACAATTTCTCGTCGTGATTCTGGACGTTTCGCGTATCCCCGCCAGCCCATCCAGACACAGTCGCTAGGGGGGTTTGGGAAAGAGCAAGGTGGCGGATGACGAAACGAAGGAGACGGAGGGAGGGAGGAGGCGGGGAAGAGGAGAGGAAGAGGAGGACGAGGAGGTGGGAGGAGACGAACGAGGAAGAAAAAGAGGATGGGGGAGTAGGAAGGAGACGGCGACGACGACGACGACGACGACGACGACGACGACGACGACGACGACGACAGGAGTCAACCACCATGGCTGTGTCTTTTGCCTTGGGCCCTCTTGTGGCCGTTTTGGCCGCCTTTGCCACCCTCTTAGAGCAATGTTGGAGGCCTTTGGGGCTCTCTTGGGCCCCTCCTGGACCCCTCCTGGGGCCCTCTGGAGGGCCTGCAGGGGCCTCTCGGGGCCATCCTGGCACCATGTATCCAAGAAAGGGGAGTGACCGATACGCCGCCCCCCCCTCGGGTACCGACCAGTTGCCTCTTGGGGTCCTCTTGGAGCGCCCTTGGGCCCCTCTTGGGGTCTCTCTTGGGGCCCCTCTTGGGGTCTCGCTTGGGGCCCTCTTGAGACCTGACGAGCCCACCGGAAGCGAAAAAGCGAGACGGAAAAACACATCGTGATCTTTCGGTGTTGAACGGATTTGGGCCTCTCATGGGGTCCGTGGGAGGTTCCGTGACCATGTGATACCGTATTGGGGCGGTTTGGGGGCCTTTTGGAGGCATGGTGACAGCTATCTTGAACCATCTTGGGGCATCGTGTAGCGATCTCTGCCATCTTGGAGCGATCTTGTGCCAACTTGGATTATCCGGGGCCATCTTGGAGCGATCTTGTGCCAGCTTGGACACCCCAACGACCCGTAGACGGCCCCCTCCAGACCCAGGGAGAAGGGGGGGGAGAGGTACATCTTTTCCCAAAGGGGAAGGAGAAGGATGGATTAACTCCATAAACCACCTACGCCCAGAGCGCTGGTGGGTGTTCGCACGACGAGAGGATGTTTGGTTTCCTCCTTCCGTTTCTCCCTGGTCGTCGTGGCCCACTCCTGTAGGTACTGCCCGATCGTGCCGATGGTGCTCATCAACGGCGCGGAGGGCATCGGCACTGGCTGGAGCACCTCCGTGCCCAACTACGACCCGCGCGAGGTCATAGCAAACATGAGGCGACGAGCCGGTGCCCCCCGTAGGAGGAGGAGGAGGAGGAGGAGGAGGTGGAGGAGGAGGAGGTGGAGGAGGAGAAGGAGGAGGAGGAGGAGGAGGAGGAGGAGGGGAAGGAGGAGGAGGAGGAGGAGGAGGAGGGGCAGGAACGATGGTGCACAATGTATGCATCAACGATGCTGCCGCTCTTACAGCGACAGAGGTAGTTACGCGAGCATCAACGCTCGGAGGCCCGCGCGGACCTCCCACAGCTTACGTGTCCCCTGCCGGTGGCGGAACGGGCGGGAGCCCAGGATGCACCCGGCGATGCTGCAGCGGACCCCGCAGCTGCGGCAAGGCTTCGGGCACGCGTGCCGGGAACGAGCAGGAAGACGCTTCTCGGGACACGCTACAAGCTCCAGCATGCCTGCCCGGAAGCCTTGGGGAGTGGCTGGCGCAGCCCTGCCTGCCGGCCTGTAATCTAACAGCTCTCTTCGCTCTCTGAGGAGCTATCGGGGAGATTGTTGGTCCCGAGCCCCCTTCTCACAAGACCCTGCAGCTTGTCGCTTTCGCTAGTGGGAGCGCCCGCTTCTCAGGTCAGCGACCCATGGGCTTGCGCTGAAGGACCGCCCCACATCTGTCTGCAGCTACTGGGGCTGCCGTTACGTAGGACCACACAGTCCAAGGACATGGTGACTGCTCATCATCTGTCAAGTTACCGCACATGTTTAAGGCCCCGCAGAGTATATGAGGCGTGTCTCAAACGAGAGCCCGTGTTCCAAAAGGAACTGTTCTCCATCCGTCGATTTCCCGCGCAAGCTTGCGCCTCGGACCATGCACGCCAGAACACGCCTGCCTAGAACTCTGTTTTGAGGAGACCGTGGTGTTCATCCGTGCAGTTGCAGCAAGCTGCTGTTTGAGGAGTGCACGCAGCGCTGCGACGCCAGGGAGATAGCCGCAGTTTGACAGTGGTGCCCCTCCGTCTTTGTCTTGTAGACGATTTCTACCTGGCAGCCGAAGGTGCGCGGCGGCAAGGTGGTATTCACCGTTTGGGAACGGTCCGCCGTGTTTCTGTGCAGGTGCTGCACTCTGGTTGGGCGAACGCGGCGCGGAGCCGAGACGGGAGCAACTATTGAAAGCGACGCGCCATCCACCCGTGGAACGCGTGAAAACTTCAAACTGCATCACCATCCACTGTGAGAAGGCCTCGTGCGACACGCCCAGCTGGCCTGACCGACGCGCCCGGTAGCGCGCGACAGCGAGGATTTGTTCCCTAACCCTTCCTTGGTTGGATTCGCGTTCTGAATTGGCCCCACCTTTTCCTCCTGGTTCCTCCCTCCTCCCGCCTCCCTTCTCTCCTCTTCATGTTTTCCCGTTCGGGTAGTCGCTCGTTGTTGTCCTCTTTTCGATCGTCCTCTGTGTTCCCAACCCTCCCTTGGTCAGGTACCTCACTCACTCACTTCTCTCCTCTCCAGTCCTTTCCGATCCCCCTGGCTGGGGGCCCATCCTGCATGAAGCCAAGACCTCGCGGCTCCGTGGGTGGCTGCGGGGTGCGAAACCGTCGACACTTTCCATTGTCCCAGCGCAGTGGAGGTCCACGCGCACCCAGCTGAGACCTCGCGGGCCCCTGGGGAGCTGCGAATTGCGCCACGCAGGCCCGCGGCCTCGGCGATCTGGGCACCGCTCTCCCTTAGCGAGGTCAGAGTTCTCCACGAGTTCCCTCGGGGCCCTGTAGTAAGCAGTTGGCGCATCCACGAAGCGGGCGCCGAAGGCCAGCCTGCTGGCTGGCTGCTGCCAAGTCCTGCATCCGGCGAACACTAAGCGAAGCTGGCGCGGCCCCGCAGCCTGCAAGCCCAGCGAATCGAGAGGGCCCGACAAACTCAGCAACGGCGCGAACAGGCTTGTGGCGCACGCATCGGCAGGCAGCCCCGCCAGCATGAGACGAACCAGCATGTTGCCTTAGGTGGCAGGGTCCAGTATGCCTCACTTTCTTCTGATCAGGTGGATGACGAGGGTGGGGGATGGAGCAGGAGGAGAAGGAGCCGGGGCACTGCTCGCAGCACGCCCACCCCACCCACCCCTGGCCACTCCCGAGAAGGCCTGGGAGGGCGACACGTCCAGCAGTGTGTCGGTTGCCACCGGAATGCACTGCCTCTTTCCAGGCCTGCCCCGACGACCCCCAAGGCGGCCGCACGACGGCTCCGGCGGGCCGCAGTGCGGTGTCCGCGATAGCAAAGGGCACCGTCACGTCGCGCTGGGTTTGGGAATCTCGTTTCGCGCGGCGGGCATGGCCTGATCTGTCGCCTTAGCTGTCACATCCGATGTCCCCCACTCGCCAGGACCCCCAAAGTCTGGCCACAGCCTGTCCTGCGTCTGGCCAGCGTGGGTCGTCGCTGTTGTTGGCGACGTTCGAGCCGTCCATTGGTGGGTCGCCACTGGGTGAGCCTGGGACGGCCCCCAAGGCCTGCGTGGCCACACTTTTTTGTGTACTCTGCTGTTATGGTCTGGACCACTGCGAGGCTCGCCTGCGGCCCACCGGCCTAGAACGACAGAGGTAGCGCCAAGCAGAATGAGGTGGCAGAAAGAGGAGGGACGAGGAGGAGAGGGAGAGGGAGAGGGAGGGGAGGAGGAGGAAAAGGAGAAGGAGAAGGAGAAGGATGATGAGGAGGAGGAAGTGGGGGAGGAGGGTTAGGAGGCCGCCGTTGCTGCCGGTGTTGCCGCCAAAGACGAATGCTGCAGCGGAGGAGTGGTCAAAGCGGAGCTCTCGCCGACAGGCCACGTCCAGGGAGTCCATGAGCGATGCCAAGCGTTCTTTTTGCTATGTAACAGCGAACGCGCTGCCCAGAGATGCGTTCGAAAGAGATCGGAGAGTGCTGCTGCTACGGTGCCCTGGCTTGCATTCCTATTCTGCCTCACGCTCCGGAACCGTCGGGTCAGCTCCCGCGAAAAAGACCCTCTTGGACAGTCTTAAAGCGTCGTGAGCTCGAAAAGCAACAACCTATGGAAACTATTTGAGTTTGACGTCGTCGGTCCTTCTAGGCGGTTCTCTTCGGGCTCGTTTCGCTGTCTTCGGGGCCTGGCCATTTCGGGCGTCTTGGAGCGGAGACTCGGAGCCTTCTTGGGCCGTCTTGGGGGCCTCTTAGGGCCCTCTAGGGCTGTTTGAAGGCCGTCTTGCCTTTAGAAATAACCCCTAGCTGCGGATAATAAACCCTAAGGGATAATAAAGTTCGGGGTTGTCGGGGGGATAATAAAAGTTGCCCGCCAGAGCCAGCATAAAGATATATCAAGAGGAAAAAGCCAAAGATATCTTGAGGATTGTCTCGGTTGAGACATCCTCAACGAATTGCTTGGTTCGCTTGAGACATCCTCGAAATATTTGTCTGTTTCGCTTGAGACATCTTCAAATTATTGTTTATTTCGCTTGAGACATCCTTGAGGGAGGAGGAGGAGAAAGAGCAAGAGGAGGAGAGGAGAAGGAGATAGCAAAAATCCAAAGTTTAAAACTTATTATATTTAATTTGTAAACGCTTGATGGAAATTAAAAGTTTCATCTGCTTGTGTAGGGTAGCTCACGTGCCTCGTTTTCCCCGGATAATCAACCCCAGCGATAAACAAGTTCAGGGCGCCAGGGGGAGGAGGAGGAGAAAGAGATAGAGAGACAGAGAGAGAGAGAGACAGAGAAAGAAAGAAAGAGAGACAGAAAGAACTACAAAGAGACAGAAGGACATCGGTTTCGCTTGAGACATCCTTGAGGGAGGAGGAGGAGAAGAGCAAGAGGAGGAGAGGAGAAGGAGATAGCAAAAATCCAAAGTTGAAAACTTATTATATTTAATTTGTAAACGCTTGATGAAAATAAAAAATTGCATCTGCTTGTGTAGGGTAGCTCACGTGCCCCATTTTCCCAGGATGATCAACCCCAGCGATAAACAAGTTCAGGGCGCCAGAGGGAGGAGGAGGAGGAGAAAGAGATAGAGAGACAGAGAGAGAGAGACAGAGAAAAAAAGAAAGAGAGACATAAATCACTACAAAGAGACAGAAGGACATTGGTTTCGCTTGAGACATCCTGAAACAACGTGTTCGATTCGCTTGATGTTGTTATCTCAACATCAGAAGGAAGTAACATCGATGGCGATTTTTTCCCGTGATAATGAAGTTCGGCCTCCGCGCCCCCGCGCCCCCGACCAAATTCTTATTGGTCGACGATAAATAATAATAATAATAATAATACTAAAACTACCTAAGGGGGGGTACATTATTATCCTGGGCATGGGGTTAAACACGTCGTGGGAACACGCTCCAAGCCCCTGGGGCGCCCCAGAGCGCCCAGAACTCCGTATTGTGGGCTTTTAACATGGTCAGAGTGAAGGGGGCCGAGCGGTCCTTCATTGTATTGTCCTTAAGCGCGTGGCTGAAGTGGGGTTCCGCGGTGCGGATTGCTGTTGCGTTGTTGTTGTCGATTGACATGTGACCTAGTTAGCCGGCCCCCCTCCCCAGCAACCAGCAACCGAAGGTTCATTTCAGCACACCCCTCTCGAGGCTCGCTGCCTTGGCTTCACAGGGGGCTCCACCGAAACTTCATTTTGGCGCCCCCCTCTCGAGGATCGTGGCCCTGGCCTCACAGGGAGCTCCACCGAAGCTTCATTTGGGCGCCCCCCTCTCGAGGATCGTGGCCCTGGCCCCATAGGGAGCTCCACCGAAGCTTCATTTCGGCACACACCCCTCTCGAGGATCGTGGCCGTGGCCCCACAAGGAGCTCCATCGAAGCTTCATTTCGGCACACCCCTCTCGAGGATCGTGGCCGTGGCCCGACAGGGAGTTCCACCGAGGGTTCATTTCAGGATCCTACAGGATCGCATGGGATCCCATAAGATCCTATAGGACCGCATGGGATTCCCATACAATCCCTATTCGATTCCTGTCGGACCCTACAGGATCGCATGGGATTCCCATCCAATCCGGATTCGATTCTTCTATACGGTTCCTTTAGGATCCCGTAGGATCGCATGAGATTCCTACACAATCCCGATACGATTCCTATAGGACTGTATACGATTCCCAAGTGATCCATCAGGGCCGCATGGGATTCCTATACAATCCTTATAGGATGCCTATGGTATCCTAGAGGATCGCATGGGATTCCTATACAATCCAAATACGATTCCTCTAGGATCTTATTGGATCGCATGGATCCCTATCGGATGCTATAGGATCGCATGGGCTTCCTATACAAACCGTGCGCGATCCCTATAGGATCCCACAGGGCCACATGGGATTCCTGCACAATCCTTATAGGTGTCCTATCGGATCTTACAGGTTCGCACAGGGTCCCTATATATATATATATATATATATATATATGTGTTTATATATATATATATATATATATATATTCCCCACAGGGCCCCATAGGATCCGTATAGGACCCTATAAGATCGCATCGGGCCCCTATAGGACCCCATAGGCTCCTGCATGATCGCATGGGATTCCCATCCAATCCCTATAGGATCCTATAAGATCGCATGGGATTATTATTCAATGCCCATACGATCCCTATAGCATTATAAAGGATCTCGTGGGATTCCTGTACAATCCGTATACGATCCCTATCGGATCTTACAGGATCACATGGCATCCATATAGAATCCCCACAGGATCCTAGAGGACCCCTATAGGATCGCATAGACCCGCATGGGATCCCTATACTATCCTCATAGGAACCCATAGGATCGCATGGGATTCCCGTGCAATCTTCATAGGATACCTACAGGACCCTGTAGGATCGCATGGGATCCCGATACAATACCGATGCGATTCCTATAGGACCCTATAGGATCGCATGGGATTCCGATACAATCCCGATACGATTTCTATAGGGTCCAACAGGGTCGCATGGTATTCCTACACTATCCTTGTAGGATCCCTATGGTATCCTAGAGGATCGCATGGGATTCCTATACAATCCCTTTACGACTCTTATAGGATCCCTATAGGCTCGCATGGGATTTCTATACAATCCGGATACGATTCCTATAGGATCCGACAAGGTCGCTTGGGGATTCTTGCACAATCCGTGCACGATTCCTATAGGATCTTACAGGATCTCATGGGATCCCTATAGAACCCCACAGGATCCTAGAGGATCGTTATACGATCCTACAGGATTCCAATTCGGATCGCATGGGGTCCGATACAATCCCTATAGGATCCTCATAGGCCCAATAGGATCGCATGGGATTTCGATACGATTCCTCTAGGACCCTATAGGATCGCGTGGGGCTCCTATACAATCCGGATACGATTCCTTTAGGATCCGACAGGGTCGCATGGGATTTCTATACAATCCGTATACGATCCCTATCGGATCTTACAGGATCACATGGCGTCCCTATAGAATCCCCACAGGATCCTAGAGGACCCCTATAGGATCGCATAGAGTCGCATGGGATCCTTATACTACCCTCATAGGAACCCATAGGATCGCATGGGATTCCCGTGCAATCTTCATCGGATTCCGACAGGACCCTGTAGGATCGCATGGGATCCCGATACAATACCGATGCGATTCCTATAGGATCCTATAGGATCGCATGGGATTCCGATACAATCCCGATACGATTTCTATAGGGTCCAACAGGGTCGCATGGGATTCCTATACAATCCCTGTAGGATCCCTATGGTATCCTAGAGGATCGCATGGGAAACCTATACAATCCCTTTACGACTCTTATAGGATCCCTATAGGATCGCATGGGATTTCTATACAATCCGGATACGATTCCTATAGGATCCGACAAGGTCGCTAGGGGATTCTTGCACAATCCGTATACGATTCCTATAGGACCTTACAGGATCACATGGGATCCCTATAGAATCCCACAGGATCCTAGAGGATCGCTATCCGATCCTATAGGATCGCATGGAATTCCCAGACGATCCCTACAGGATTCCAATTAGGATCGCATGGGGGTCCTATACAATCCCTATAGGATCCTCAGAGGCCCAATCGGATCGCATGGGATTTCGGTACGATTCCTCTAGGACCCTATAGGAGATCGCGTTGGTTTCCTATACAATCCAGATACGATTCCTTTAGGATCCGACAGGGTCGCGTGGGATTTCTATACAATCCGGATACGATTCCTATAGGATCCGACAGGATCGCATGGGATCCCCATAGAATCCCCGCAGGATTTTAGAGGATCCTTATAGGATCCCTATAGAATCGCATGGAATTCCCATGCAACCCCTAAATGATCCCTATAGGATTGCTAGTATAGGATCCTATAGGATCATATTGGAGCCGATAGATTCCGGAGCTTCACTGGTGCAGACATGAAAACATTGCATGAAGGAGGAGTTCACATCCTTCAGCAAGCAAAGTTACAGCGGAGCGAGGAATGGAGCCCGAGGTTGTTGGTTGCTGGTTGCCGGGGGGGGCTTACCCCCGGGGGGCAAGGTCGCGGGTTGTCTTTGAAGGACAAGCATTGCCCAAGTTCCCCGGTGAACGGGCAACGAGAGAACGTGTCAACCTTGTTGTCGTTGTTGTTGTGTTTGTTGCTGTTGTTGCTGTCGTTGTTGTTGTTGTTGCTGCTGTTGCTGCTGTTGGTGTTGCTGTTGCTGTTGCTGTTGCTGTTGTTGCTGTTGCTGCTTATGTTTCTGTTGCGTTGAGTCCTCACCTCTAAACAGTCATTGCTGTCGATCCCCCTTCCCAGTGCGCTCTGTGCTTTAAAGTGAAAGCGTTATGTCTCGAACGTCGCACAGTGCTTGTTACCCGGGAAACCCTTGGGCATCAGAATGCGTTGTTGGCCCCCGAACTACAACAACGGCTCCCGCCTGATACTTCCCCACGATGTATTCACAATCGCGCTCTCGCGCGGGACGTCCTCACAATTTCCACAGGAATCGCAATCTCGCGCTACATGTCTTTCCAATGTATTGAGGCGCCGCGCCTTCGACACTCAGGAATGTGTCTCTCGCACCTTCCCCTCTGCGTAGCTCCACTTGTCAGCCGTGTACAGATCTTGAACCCTCTGGCTTCTGATGGGTAGACATGTGTACATACGCATACACACATGTTGCATCTACACACGATGTGCTGCTACATCTGTCTCTCTCTCTCTCTATCTCTCTCTCTCTCTCTCTCTCTCTCTCTCTCTCTCTCTCTCTCTCTCTCTCTATATATATAGTCTTGGCGTTGTCTCTGCCGCTCCCCCCTCAGTTCCCCCCGTTCTCCCTCGGCTCCCTCCCCCCCTCCCCTACAGCATCCCTAAGCGTCTCCATGTCCTCCCCGCGCTCGCAGTGAAGTCCTTGCGCTTGGTTTATGTTAACCTCCGTTCCTCCTCCTCCTTCGCCCTTACCCCTCCTCCTCTTTCTCATCCTGCTCCTCAACCTCCTTCTTCGTTCTTCCTTTTCTGTGCTTGCTTTTTGCGGATGCATCCGGCAGCTGCCGCTCTTCCCGCGTGGGCGTTGGCCCGGGCTGGGTCAGGAGCCACACCATCGCCGCGTGCGCACGGCCGTGCACCTTCGTGCGCGAGCCCTCCGACGATTACGCGCTTGGGTTTCGGAGGAGGAGGAGGAGGAGGAGGAGGAGGAGGAGGAGGAGGAGAGGAGGAGGAGGAGGAGGAGGAGGAGGAGGAGGTCGACGCCGCAGCTTTGCTTCTCTCAGCGCACCGTCTTCTCCCTCTCCCCGCCGCTCTCGGGCCGTGCCTCTGCGGGGCGCGGGGCCCGCGCCCAGGCTGTTCATCAAGCGGAAGCGGCCCAAGACAATGACGCCGTGGTACCGGAACTTCACGGGCACGATCAGGCCGTCCAAGGAGGAGAAGGTCGGCCATGGCCCCTTCCTCCCCATGCAACCCCCGCCTCCGTCTTGCCCCATCCTCGTCTCATGCTCCTCCCCCTCGCCTCCGCCTTTTCCCGCGTGCCTCCCGCGGTCCCGTCGTGTCGTTGTCGTCGTCGCCGCCATGGACCGTCGTCGTCGCTGGCTGCCGCCCGTTGCTGTTGGCCTCTCTGCCTGGGCCTCGTGCCGTTCCGCGGGCGCACGGGGCCAACCTGGAATGCTGGAAGGATGAGCATCAGGAGGACGTGGAGGAGAGGGGGGACTGGAAGGAGAAGGGGGGGAGTGCCGTGGAGGAGGAAAAGGAGAGGGTGAAAGGGTAGGAGAGGGAGGCGGGAGCTGGCGGAAGGCGCGTCCAGGGGCAGGTTCTGATCAGGTCGGGGCGAGGTGCCGTCCAGTGAGGCGGGTGGGACAGCTGGCGTATTGGCGGTCGGCGGTGTAGATCCCTTCCCTGGGACAGGCCCTTCATCCCGATCAATCGTTTGACAGTCCTGGGGCCTTGCGAGGGCCCCCGAAGGCCGAAAACGGCTGACAATGTCCGTGCCGATTCGTTAGCGACGAGAGGAGACTTGAGCATGCCGACGGGTCGCAAGACGGCTCGATCTGGAGCCCGATTCTCTCCACACCGGCAGGCATCGCCGATGCATCGCCGATGCATCGCCGATGCATCGCCGACGTCGCCGATGCATCACACATGCATTTCTTCTTTTCGGCCTCTGGGGGGCTGGTTTCGGGCCCCAGGACCCAACCAAACATTGGTGTGGGAAGAATTGGCCCCCAGGGAAGTGGTCCAGACCCCTGGGGCCGCGGAGGAGGAGGAGGTGGAGAAGGAGGGAGGAGGAGGAGGAGGAGGAGGAGGAGGAGGAGGTGGAGGAGGTGGAGGAGGAGGATTGCGACAAGAGCACATCGTCGGATGTCTGGGAGCGTGTCCGGGAGGACACGGATCCCGGATGTCGTTTGCGCCGTTCTCAGGTTCCAGGAGCCCTGCCCAGCCCCGGGGCCGTCCAGAAACAGCTGGAGGAAGAGCTGGTCCCAAAGAGAGCCCCGCGGTCCAAGACCCGATTCCTTCAGAACCCGTCTTCCTTCACGAGGCGTTCCAGAAAAGGGCCTTGCCCTCGGGGATCGAATGAGTTGCCATCCCTTCCTCGGCGGAAGGCGGCGGAAGGTCGGCGGAAGTGCAACAGCGGCGGCTCGGCCAGCGGAAGCCCGCGGAAGACGGCGGAAGTAAAAGATGCGCCCCCCCCAAAAGATGACAACGTGTTCGGGGTTTCGGGTTCGGAGTTTCTGGAACCCGACTCATGGCGACCTGTTGGGCGTCGCGTTATGGGAGGGCGATATATGGGGAGCAGCGAGGGCTACAGAAAAGGGACCCTTTCAGGCCCCTGAAGGAGCCGTAGAGGGCCCAACAGAGGACCTGTGGGGCCCGGGAAGTGCATCTGTCTCCCCCCCCAATTGGGGCGTTCCAAAAAGGGCCTTGCCTTCGAGGATCGAAGGGGTTGTCATCTCTTCCTCGGCGGAAATGCGGCGGAAGGTCGGCGGACGCAAAACGAGGCCGCCTCCGCTGGCGGAAGGCTGGCCGAGGGCGGCGGAGGTGAAAAAGGACCACCTCCAAGAGATGACAGCACTTCTGGGTTCAGGGTTTCCGGAATGGGCCACTTGTCGCCCCGCCCCACAGAGCGAGGCCCAAACCTGGGCTTGCTCCCTGCCGCGCTGCTGGCAGGGCAAGTGGGACTGCCTGGGCGCCCACTCGCAGACGAGCGCCACGATCCTGCAGATCACGGAGCTCCCGCTGCGCAAGTGGACGCAGGAGGGGCCTCGCGTCTGCGGCCCCAGGGCCCGTCCACGCCCTCCCGCCTCTCTCCTCCTCCTCCTTCTCCTCCTCCTCCCCCTCCTCCTCCTCCTCCTCCTCCTCCTCCTCCTCCTCTTCCTCTCCTCCTCCTCCTCCTCCTCCTCCTCCTCCTCCTCCTCCTCCTCCTCCTCCTCCTCCTCCTCCTCCTCCTCCTCCTCCTCCTCCTCCTGCTCCTGCTCCTGCTCCTGCTCCTCCTCCTCCTCCTCCCTCATCCTCCTCCTCCTCCTCTCCTCCTCCTCCTCCTCCTCCTCCTCCTCCTCCTCCTCCTCCTTCTCCTCCTCCTCCTCCTCCTCCTCTCCTCCTCCTCCTCCTCCCTCCTCCTCCTCCTCCTCCTCCTCTCCTCCTCCTCCTCCCTCCTCCTCCTCCTCTCCTCTCTCTCTCCTCCTCTCCTCCTCCTCTCTCCTCTCTCCTCTCTCCTCTCTCCTCTCCTCCTCCCTCCTCCTCCTCCTCCTCCTCCTCCTCCTCCTCCTCCTCCTCCTCCTCCTCCTCCTCCTCCTCCTCCTTCGCCTGCTCCTCCTCCTCCTCCTGCTCCTTGCATTTAGGCTCTGCTCAAGCGATTCAGGCCTCGTCTCAGCCCTGTTCGCGGCCTGGTTCCAGGCAGGCGAAGCCACCGTACACTCCCATCACGGTCAGGTCGATCTCGGCACATCGCGCGGCGAATCTGTCGAGTTTCTCGAGGCAGAGGTGCAGGAGGCAAAGCCAGCACGGGAGGTTGCACTCAGGGATAAGATTGCAAGTTGGTGGACTCGCGTCGCCACGGTGTTGACTACCTTGGCGAGATACAGGGACAAGGATTCAGGTGTCAAGCAGCAGCTCCTTCTTGTGGAAGCCGTGGGGCGTCTCAAGGAGGAAGCCCCAGAGCGTGGTCATCAGGGGCTCCGCCAGTCCGACCACTATAACTGGGATTTCTGGCTGCATGTGTTCGAACGCACAGGTGAGAGTTCTCTTGAGGAGCTCAAGATTGTTTCTTAGGCGGCTGACAAGGTTGCACGGCGGGCTCAGAGGCGCGCGCTCCATCAGGCAATGGGTGAGTTCCGCACGTGGGCTGAGACAGCCCCTGATGTGAGTGCCCTCCACAGGGCCATCAGAGAACAACCTCTTGTCAGCGATATTTTGGAAGTGAATGGCACGTCAATTGTACACCCCAAAGATATTATGGATCATAAAAGGGAACACTGGGTCTCATTGTGGGGACCACCAGGTCAGCCGTTGAGCGAAATGCCTGTTTTTTTTCACGAGATTCGGCAGCGAGTTTCAGAGGAGGCGCTTCCACCCCTTGATGGTGTTATCCTGCGGGAAGCGTCTGATCATATGAAGTGTGGTGCTATGGGGGTGGACCGTCTGACTCCATTGGACACGCCACGTCTGCCCGACCCAGCTCTCGATGAGTTGGCTGCACTACTCAATGTATGTGAAGCACGGCAAGTCTGGCCACATCAGCTCCTGCTGACCATCGGGACCCTGTTTCCCAAGAAGCACAAAGGGGACCGCGTGATAGGGCTGCTGCCTTACTTTGCACGGCTCTGGTCAGCAGCTCGCGAGCGGCACGTCCGCACCGGACGGACCAGTGCGAGGCGCACTGGGATGCCGCCATCCGCGGCAACTCGGCGATCCGCGAGGCAGTCCTGCGCGCGATCGACGAGGAGCTGGCGGTGCGACTGTCCACCGAGAATGGGCATGGCCTCATCGACCTCGCCAGCTTCTACGACACGATCGGGTGGATGCTGTTAGGTCAGACCGCGCTGCGGCTTGACTTCCTGGCGGAGATTCTAGGGCTGGAGTTGTTGCAGTGCATGGCATCGCGCTGCGTGCGCCAGTCTGGGGCGTACTCGGCGCCCTTCGACCCCACGAGGTCGGTCGTCCAAGGCCTCAGGGCTGGGACACGCTTCGCCAAGTGCGGCACGTACCACATCATGGCGAAGATTACGACGGTGCACGTGGACATGTCGCACAGGCTGTGGATCGACGACCTGAGCCAGAGCTATCGTGCATCTCGAAGGGTTATGGTTGCCAAGATGGTTCAGTGTTTGTCCGACACTTGTGAGGCCATCCAGACAGCAGGCTTGCAAGTCTCCCCGAAGAGCGTGGCCCTCTGCACTCGGATGTGCGAAGCTAAGGCTATTGCACGACGGTTGCGGTTGAAAGGGTACCACATCAATGCAGTGGGCCGGACAGCGTCCCTCGGCGGGGATACGGGTGGTGGTAGGAGACATGCGAGGGCGACCAGGACAGCGAGGGCCGCCAAGCATGGCAGGATGAGTAAGAAAGTGATGCAGTACGCCCGCGTGACGAGACGGCACGGCTTGACGAGTCGTCTGGAACAGCAGGGCGCCCAGGCTGCTGGCACGTATGGCCACCAACTCAACGGGCTGTTCGGCCAGCAGGTGCTGCAGGTTCGCAGGTTGGTGGCGAATGCAGTTGCTCCGAGATTGACTGGGCGGCGTTTAACCACGCTGCTCGACCTTCGCGCTCATCAGCGCGACCCTGCCTACAAAATCCCAGTGGAATGCTTGGGTTTATGGCTGTCATGCTGGACTTGGGTGCCGCACAGTCGTTCAGGTATCAATCAGTCGCGGCAGAAGCTTGCACAATAACTCAAGAGTATGACACCTGAGCAGCGGCACCGTTATATTCGGGGGCCTCAAGGTATCGCTATCACATACCTCCTTGAGGCAGGATGGGATCCCATCGGCCCATCAGAGTGGCAGGTTCCATCGGATAACCTGGCATGATCAACAGCTGGGAGTTTCGGGTCGAGAATCTCACGGGCGTTAATAATATCGAGATTTCACAGCAGTTCTTTTCCGAGTTTACGCACACGGTTCAGAGTCAGTTGTGGTTCGCAGCATCATCTCACTTCGACGGCGCGGGGATGGAGCAGGGTATGCACAATGCATCCTACCCCCAGCTGCTCCACCAGCTGGAGGCCGCCCCAGGTGGGCGTCGCTTGGCTGGCTAGTTGCTGGCGTCCGCTGCCGGTGCTGCATGGCCGCGGACACGACGGCAACAGAGGTCCAAGCAGAGCGTTTCTGAATGGTGCATGCGCTGCAAGGAATGCAAAGAGACATCGTTCCATCGAGTTTGGGAATGCGCAGGTCGCAAGTCTCACGAGATCTACAACCGATCGGACGAGTACGCAGCCAAAGCACAAGCAGGTCGTGAGGCCGAGGCATGCTTCTGGGTGCGCGGTTTGATCCCTGCGCCGTGGCTGGATGTTCCAGAGCCGATCCAGGAGGAGGATTGGACTTGCCATGGCATCGGGGAGTTTGAAGAAGCATGTTTTCCGCGAGGATCAGAGGACACGCCCACCTACATCTTCGGCGGTGCTAGCGGGGGAGCAGACACCCGCGACGCAGCCCTTCGCCGTGTCGGTCTAGCGGTGGCGGCGTTCTCAGACCTCTCCAGTGACATGATGATCGAGATCGGCGTCTGGGGAGGGCTTCCAGGAGCAGCCCAGACGGTGGCGATGGGCGAGCTGCGCGCCCTGTACCTCACAGTGCGGGGCGGCTGCGGCCACGTTGCCTCCATCACGGACAACGCTGCAGCATGTTCAGGCTGGTACAACGGCCTCCCCGCCGCCCCGTCAGGTGAAAACGCAGGCCTCTGGTTTCTCATCGGTTCCGTCCTGAAAGCTAGGAGCTCCCAGTTGCCGATCACGGTTATATTTGTTCACTCGCACCAAGAGGCAATATACATGTGTAATTGTAGAACGCCCGTGCCCTTCATTCTCGGTAATGCAGTTGCTGACGAGCTTGCTGGTATTGCAGCGAGCTCAGTACGTGTGAAGGCTGACGCGCGCGCACGCATATTTCGCATCGAGCACATGGCATATCTTGTTCGCGTGAGAATATTGTTGAGCACTTTAGAGGCGATTGAAGCTGAGAAAGATCAAGGGGGCCCGAGGCCCCGTCTGAGGCACCCTGGTCCTAGGCCGCCTGCCCCAATGATCTACAGCGCGTTCAGCTCCCAGCATCAGTTGTCTGAGTCAGGCCTTAGCTGTAATCAATGTAAGGGGTCGACCTCACAGGCCCAGAAGAAGGCCTGGCTGGACTCTCCATGTTTCCCCCTTTCAACGGGCGATGGTGCAGTTTGGGACCCCTCTCCTGGGCAGCTGGTGCACGTCGGGGGGGATATGCCCATCCGTCTCACTGTCTCAAATATCATGCTGGACTGGGGGTCTGGTTTTGTACTACCTGTGGAAGCTTTGCAGCTGAACAGCTGGCTAAGCTATCCAAGGAGTGTGAACCTAAGCGTTGTTGTCAAGACTACCTTAATCGAATTCAACAGGGTTTATGGCCCAACCAACATAGCAAAGCTGAGCGAGCCAAGCGTGCTGCTGCGGGTAAACCCGTTTAAGTTTGCTGTTTGGGTCTCCGTTAAGTAACCGGCATGGTCGCAATATCCGTAATTCCGTAACTCCGTAACTCCGTAACTCCTCTTCCTCCTCCTCCTCCTCCTCCTCCTCCTCCTCCCCCTCCTCCTCCTCTCCTCCTCCTCCTCCTCCTCCTCCTCCTCCCTCCTCCTCCTCCCTCCTCCTCCTCTCCTCCTCCTCCCCTCCTCCTCCTCCTCCTCCTCCTCCTCCTCCTCCTCCTCCTCCTCCTCCTCCTCCTCCTCCTCCTCCTCCTCCTCCTCCTCCTCCTCCCTCCTCCTCCTCCACCTCCTCCTCCTCCTCCTCCTCCTCCTCCTCCTCCTCCTCCTCCTCCTCCTCCTCCTCCTCCTCCTCCTCCTCCTCCTCCTCCTCCTCCTCCTCCTCCTCCTCCTCCTCTCTCTCTCCTCTCTCCTCTCTCCTCTCTCCTCTCTCCTCTCCTCTCTCCTCTCTCCTCTCCTCCTCCTCTCTCCTCTCTCCTCTCTCCTCTCGTCCTCTCCTCTCCTCCCTCCTCCCTCCTCCCTCCTCCCTCCCTCCCTCCTCCTCCTCCCTCCTCCTTCCTCCTCCTCCTCCTCCTCCTCCCCTCCTCCTCCCCTCCCTCCTCCTCCTTGCTCCTCCGCATGCTCCTCCTCCCCCCTCCTCCTCCTCCTCCTCCTCCTCCTCCTGCTCCTCCTCTTCCTCCTCCTGCTCCTCCTGATCCTCCCCTCCTCCTCCTCCTCCCCTCCTCCTCCTCCTCCCTCCTCCTCCTCCTGCTCCTCTCTCCCCTCCTCCTCCTCCTCCTCCTCCTCCTCCTTCCTTCGCCTGCTCCTCCCTCCTGCTCCTCCTCCTCCTCCCCCTCCTCCTCCTCCTCCTCCTCCTCCTCGGCGGCACGGCCTCAGTCGACCCTCGGTACTTCGCCGATGCTTGCGCACGTGCCAGCAGAGAAGGTCGACAGAATCTCGCCCGCATTGCCTGCCGCCAGTTCCCAAGACAATGGCGGACCACCGGTGGCAGTGCTAGATGCACAGTCTTCCAAGGTCCGTCGCTCTCACGCACTCTCGCCTTCCGTACCAGGTCTTTAGTGGTTTGAAGACGTTTCTTCTCAGCTCAGCGTTCCTTCCAACGCGGAGGGGACCGCAACGAGGCATACGTTGACCAGAGTTGCAGCTGCTCCTCGCCTCTCAAAGGACGAGCAGCCTCTTGTGCCTGCGCCTCGCACCGAGGCAGACTCTTGGCGACTGACTCTGACGAACAGCAAGTCACAGACTGCCCAGCCAAATTTCACATGAAGGTCGGCCTGACCGTGCAGCTTCTCGCAGCGGGGCTGTCGTGAGCCCCGACGCGGGCCACTCGCGGGAGTTATCACGAGGTCCTGTCAAAAGCAGCAGGGGTGGAGGGGGGGGAGGAGGACGTAGAGGATGTGTATTGCCCATGGGGATGCGACATTTCCAGGGATGGCAAAAAGAGCTTGGCACAAAACTAGACGAGGAGGAAAAACATATATTGGAAGAGGAAGACAGGCGGGGACGGAAGAAGCGGCAACAAAAAGCGAGCCAAAGCGTGAATGTGACTTGGATAGCAGGAACATGGATACCAACGCAGTTGAACAAAGCAGCGAAAAGTCGAACACAAGACAGGATTGTAAAAGGGAAGGTATCGTAATGAGAGCGGCTGGGGAGAAAATGCTGCAATAATGGAACTGTACTTCGGATGCACAGGAGGAGGAAGTTGATACACAACGAGGGGCGTCAGGCGAGTGAGAAGCAGACATACGAGAGGTGGAACAGCACCGAGATGACCAGGGAGGGAGGCGGAAGACGACAGGGAAGAGGACCAGCACCGCACGAGCAGCATGACCAGAGGGAGGACGATAAGAGGGAGGAGACCTGGCAGCAGACGTAGGACGAGGAGAGGGAGGAGAGCAGCTGGAGCAGCAGCAGGAGTAGCTTCCAAAGCCTGAGGATGACTTCTAGGAGCTCCCAGGGGAAATCTCCTCCTCCTCCTCCTCCTCCTCCTCCTCCTCCTGCTCCTGCTCCTCCTTCTCCTCCTCCTCCTCCTCCTCCTCCTCCTCCTCCTCCTCCTCCTCTCCCTCCTCCTCCTCCCCCTCCTCCTCCTCCTCCTCCTCCTCCTCCTCCTCCTCCTCCTCCTCCTCCTCCTCCTCCTCCTCGGGGGGGACTGCTCAAGATGGCCCGGGGAGTCGCCAGGAACTTTGTAGGACTCCCGAGGAAGGCCCCGGGAACCAGACCCTCGGCGTTGCGATTTTGTTCGCAACCTTTTGGACACCCCTCCTTGACTGGCGTCTCATCCCAGGTCGTTGCTTGTCGGTCGCGGGGCCCGGTCAGGGCCCCCGGAAGCCGAAAGAGGCCAAAGACTTCCCGATGCCATTGTTTTTTGACTTCCACAGTCAACGGCCCAGTCAAAGTGGGCAAAAAGAGGACAGCTCGAGCGGGCAAAAAGCGGACAGGGCAGGGAACCCGCAATAGAGGCCCCGCCCAGCCCGAGTGCCCGGCAGGACTACAAGGAGTTCATGCAGGCGCCGGGCGCGGGGGGCCTCTCCTTGCGTGCCTGGTGTCTGCCAGGGATCGAGGTCTACCAGGCGCAGTCCGGAGTTTCCTCTTGTGCACGCTTTTTCTTCCTCACCACGGTAACGCTCGTGACTTGCCCCCCCCCCCCCCGGGTAATGCTAACGATCATCATGGGGGGAAGCGATTAAAAAAAAACCCCCCCCCCCCCCCCCCGACCCCCCAAAATGATTGAGTGGGGCTGACTAATAGAATTCAGCCGCCGGACACTGTTTTTTGTATCGTCCGCCCCCCGGCGTTTGCTTTTGCCCCTTTGGGGGAATTGATTTTCTATTCGTCCTCCTTCGCTCGCTTGATCACCCGCGGCCGCGGGGGAAGGATTGCGGAGGGGGGACGGGGCAATTAGGGAGTAGTTGAGGGAAGGGGTTTTCGAAGAGGCGTTTGATCATCCTCGTCCTTGCGGACGGCCGCCAGTCGTCCTTGCGGACGGCCGCGGCGATTGGGAGGTGGGGGCAAGGGCAGAAGGAGGAGGAGGGGGAGGAGGAGGAGGAGGAGGAGGAGGAGGAGGAGGAGGAGGAGGAGGAGGAAGAGGAGGAGGAGGAGGAGGAAGAGGAGGAGGAGGAGGAAAAGGAGGAGGAGGAAGGGAGGAGAAGGAGGAAAGGAGGAGGAGGAAGGGAGAGGAGGAGAGGAGGAGGAGGAGAGGAGAGGAGGGGAGGAGGAGGAGGAGGACGAGCTCGCCCTGAAAAATCACCCCGTCCACCCCCTTGGCCCCCGCGCCCTGGATCGCCACCCCGTGCCCCCCCCCTGGCCTTCCAGGCAACCCGGAATTGTCAGCCCCCCGTCAGCCTGCCCTGCCCCCCCGCTATTGCGGGGGCGAGGAGGCCCGCGAAACATGTTTTTTTATCGTCCGCCCCAGAAAGTGTTTTTAATCGTTTCCCCCCATTATTGGGGGGGGGTCTCGACCCCCCCATACATGGTGGGGCTGGACCCCCCGCAGGTATGGCGCTGTGCTCACAGGCATGGCGTGGTGCTGAACAGGCGTTGCGATGTATGTTGGCGACGTGGTGCTCCGGTGCACACGGCTGCTGTGGTGTACGGAGACATTGTGGTGTACACAGGCGGCGCTGTGCTGCACGCGGGCGCTGTTCTGTACTCAGGGACTGTGGTGCACACGGGCGATTGAAGCGCCGGTGTCGCGGACGCACCCTGGCGGGTGCACGCCGCGGCCGCGGTTACCATCCCTTTCCTGCCCGAATCGCACCCCAGGGTAACGATCGTTACCTTGAAAAGGAAAAAACAGCCACCTCGTCGCGCGCAAATCATGATTGGAACTTATGTTGCCATTTTCGGCTGGAGGCCTCCAATGGCTTCGGGGCTATCAAAAACGGCTCGGGGTGAAAAGCCGGCACCAGGGAAGTGGTCCAGACCTCTGGGGGTCATTGTTGCAGGAAAACGATGTCGGAGATCTGGGCAGATGGCGCGTTCCAGAAAGGGTATCAATTCCAGTGCATCTTCGCTTTCGGCTGAAACTGGCGGGAGTACAACGGCGGCGGGCCCGCTGGCGGAAGGCGTCGGAAGTAGCAGCGAAGCGTGGTAGTTTTGCAGGTAGGGGCTCCAGAATTGGCCAGATGGGATAGAGAGATCGGGGCATCGTGCCGAATTGCCGATGCATCGGCGATATGGAGCGATATGTAGCCCGTCCTTCTCCATTCCGCTGTCGCCGATGTATGCGCGGATGTTTGTTGTTGTCCAATGTTTGCAGTCGGCGGCGCGCCGGCGTTGTTGGTCGCCCCCGTCAACCGCGCGCCCGTCGAGTCTGTCGCTGGCACCGCAGTGGTAAACTGGTCGAGGGAGAGCCCCTACGTCTCCCCCTTCCGTCCTCTTCCTATGCCTCTTCCTCTGCGTCCCCCCCCCCTCCCTCTCCTCCGCCTCCTCTTCCTCCTCCTCCTCACACAATTCCACCTACTTCTCATCTTCCCCCCCCCCCCCTCCACCTCGTCGTCGTCGTCGTCGTTCTCAGCCTGCTCTTTGCGCCTCGTTGTTCCTGTTTCGCCCCCTCCGCATCGTTGGTTTCGGCAGGTTGTTGCTCACCCACACTAGGACGTACGGATGAATGAGATCGCTGGATCTGCCTCGGCGACCACCAAGTCTTGTTCCGGGTCGACATTCCAGCGCCCGGTGCGAGCAGCAATGCAGTTGCCGTGCAGATCGAGCTGTCCCAGGCACATCTGGACGGCCCGCACGCTTCCGACTTTCCAGTCCACTCGCGGTACTTGCAGGCGTTTGACCTGTTGCAGCGCTCGGGCCAATTGCGGCTAGCAGACGTTCGCGTTTGGGGAGACGTAGGCCGGCTAGGTTACCAAGTTGCCGCTGGAGCTCAACACTAAACCAAGGGCTTACATGCAGACGGACAGTCTGAACACCACATTCGCCCAGAAGTTGCCCAGTATCGAAGATTTCACACCTGGGTCGCACGGAGCCCACCGGCAGCGGTTGGTGGGGCCAACACCATACGAGTAGCCCGCACGAGTCTGGGTTCCGAGAAAGGCAGAGGCACGACCGTCACGCGCATGAACGAAGTTGTCTGCGACAGACTCGGTAGGAACGGGATCTGCGTGCAGCCGATGCGCGGGCAAACCGCTGTTGACTCTGCCAACCGCGAAGTGCCACATGCCAGCGTACGGGAAGGCCTTCCCGTGGGATTGGCAGCATAATGTTTGCTGTACCGGTCCGTGGCCCGACGCGGAGAATGGCGAAGGCCGGCGGGACAGCTCGGAGCTCCGCACTCGTGGCAAAAAAGGAGCTTCCAAACATGCAGTTTCTGAACTCGAGTTCAGAAACGGGTTGCTCGCATCCGAAAACCAATCCTCTGGATTCAAAAGGCAGCGTTGCCTAACGAGGTGAACGGCGGCTCACACTAGGAGAACGCATACCGGCATGGGACAGCCTGGAGGCAGCAGTCCTAAGCCCGCAAGAAGAGCGCAGCACCGACGGCCCTCGAATCCAGCCACGCGCAGTCCGAGCCCTGGCCCGCCCGCGCCAGCTACTCAGGCCCCGCCTCCAGGGGTCGCCACGGGGGCCCTGAGGGAGTCGTTGGCCACGCGCAGGGGGGGGGGGCAGGGGGAGGGGGGAAGGCTTCTCAGGAGCGCCCTGCTTTTTAGGAGGCGCGGGCCCCGTCTGTAGACGTGAGGCAGGCGGCTGCTTGGGAACGGCCTCTCTCGGAGAGGCCTTCTCCCCTCTCCCTGTCCTCCCCTGCGCGCCGCCAGAATCGGGTCCCAGGACCCGGTGCATTCCCCAGGAGCAGCCCTCTTCAGCTCGAGACGTCTCATTTTAAGTCGGGCACGTCCCTCTACACTCTACAGGAGGATGAGTCAAAAGTAGTCAAAAAATAGTCTGGGGACGATTGTTCGACTATGTTTCGAACATGTTTGAATAGTTCTTGCTTCTTCGAAGATTTTCACCCAAAATCCGCCTGTAGGAGGACATGCCCGACCTATGTCTGAGGCCCGGGAGCGGCCCCCGGAGCCAGAGATTGCCAGGACCCGTCTCCTCCAGAACCCGTGCTGCAGGGGGGACCCCGGTGCGATCTGCCCCGCTTCGTTCGGGGCTCCTCCTCATCCTGCTTCTCCTCCTCCTCCTCCTCCTCCTCCTCCTCCTCCTCCTCCTCCTCCTCGCGCCTCCTCCTCCTCGTGCCTCCTCCTCCTCCTCCTCCTCCTCCTCCTCCTCCTCCTCCTCCTCCTCCTGCTCGTGCATCCTCCTCCTCCTCATCCTCGTGCCTCCTCCTCCGCATTCTCGTGCCTCCTCCTCCTCCTCCTCCTCCTCCTCCTCCTCCTCCTAATCCTCCTCCTCATCCTCCTACTGCTCGTGCCTCCTCCTCCTCTCCTCCTCGTGCCTCCTCGTGCCTCCCTCGCCTCCTCCTCCTCCTCCTCCTCCTCCTCCTCCTCCTCTCCTCCTCCTCCTCCTCCTCCTCCTCCCTCCTCCTCCCCTCCTCGTGCCTCCTCCTCCTCCTCCTCCTCCTCGTGCCTCCTCCTCCTCCTCCTCCTCCTCCTCCTCCTCCTCGGGACGAGTCGGGGCTCAAGAGACAGGAGTCAATGCAAATGGGGTCCATCAGAGCACGGGATCCTGCAGGATCCCGCGCAGCCAGGGTTGCATTGACCTGGGCTTGGGTGCAGGATCCTGCAGGATCTCGCAGGATCCTGCAAAGCCTGGCTGACCCGGGTCCGGACTGACCCGGGTCAGTAGATCCCCGATCCGTGAGGCTTCTTGGATGGTCGTTGGGATCTCGTCGAGGCTTTGGGGGCCTTCTGGAGGCATTTCTGAGGCGTCCGGTGAGCTGTCCTGAGGCTTTTTGGGGCCTCTTTTGGGCCTCTCGGGGACTTTTGTGGGGTCTCTTGGGGGCCTTTTGGGGCTCGCTCCCATTGCGTGAGAAACTTCCAGACGGCGTGGACAGAGGTACCGCATTTTGCTGCATG